ACTGGTTAGAAAAAACTAAGTGTTTGGAGTTTTGTTGTTGTTCATCTGTGGCTTTCTGCTATCTGGTGGCATTGTATGACCAAATGACATCTAAGTAATCAGCAAAGCACAGTTCAGGCCCAAACGAGGAAAGAAAGACAAAAAAAAAAAAAAAAAAGCCCACAATTAAACTCTTAGTAATAACCCTTTATGGGATTTCCAAGGCTGTAAATAAATCTTTATGGGAACAGAAAGCCTCATCTTTCTCCCAGGGTGCAGCTGGTGGGTTTGAACTTCCGACCTTGCGATGAACAGTCCAGTCCTTACCCTACAGTGCCACCAGCTCAGTTCAGTATTGCTAAAAATAGCCAAAGTCCTCAGTACAGACATGCGCAACTCAAAGTAACAGGATGCGTAAGAGAAACCAATATGTGCCACGCTCATTAAATAGCAACAAAGGCCCTAAAACAGAAGAGAGAATTGAGTGAGCTCTTAAACTGTTGAGAAGGGTGAACAATACGCTCACTCAACAGCACATGACGGATAGCTCCAGGAGAAATCGTGTGCTTTTTTTTTGCTCCAAAATAAATTATTGAAAAGGGTCATGTGATTCTTAACAGGCAGAGAGAGCATTTTCCCAAGGAAAATTCATCACTAAATATATTATTTAGGACTGCATCATCTTCAGGCTATTTTAAATCCTCTCATTTTGCTGCCAAAATTGGCCATAAGCAGCTGATACTCAGCCTCGATAAAAATTGTGCTCTTTCATGTAATTTGTACCCTGGCAAGAGCACGGGACTGTTTTCCAGTTGGTCAAATGTTTCTCTGGACGTGGGCTGCATTCAGAAAAAAAAAAAAAAAGCTGTTTGTTGTACTGCTTGCTGAATAAGATTTATTAGGTATGGAGAATTTCAACCCTATCTTCCTAAACAAAAGCAAAAGATCAAAAATAATAAAAAGTTAGACCATCAGTAGAACAGAGTCAAGCAATCTCCTGTTTGAACCAGCTAACTCTTTGAGCAGTCCACGGACTACAGGCTCCTAAAACACCAAGTTGAATGTTGCTCCATGTCCCAGTGTACACGGTGCCAACTTTCACTCATCATCACCTTTCCCACGTCTCACCCTTGGCTTGCAAGAGACCCTTTGTCCCCAAGAAGTCTCAAGGCCACTAACTCGTTTGCAGTGTTACTGTGTCACAAGAGGATAAAATAATATTAATAGAGCTATTAAAAGATGTAGCTCGCCAGCCTTTATTAGGTGTAGGAAAGCTAGCTTACTTTTTTGTTGTTGTTATATAATTGATGCCAATACACATAGTATAACAAAGACACAGAAACGAAATAACCCATTACCATTTAGCCAATTGCAACTCAAAGCAACCCTAAAGCAGAGGACAGAACTGATCCACAGAGTCTCTGGTTATAGAACCAGACTCCCACATCTTTGTCCCGTGGAGCAGTTGGTGAATTCGAACCACTGACTTTTTAGTTAGCAGGCAAGAGCTCAACACTGTGCCATCAGAGGTCCTACACATTGTATGATGGTGTGAAGTGCCGTAGAGTTGGTTCTGACAGTGCCCTTCTATAGGGTTTCTGAGGAGCGGCTGGTGGGTTTAGCTACCATGAGAAGCATTCTCATGAAGATGGGGTACACAGTATTTTATCTCCTATCTCACCTTCATCCCCATCTGTTTCCAGGATCAAAGCAGCCTGGCGCATAGCTGGAAACTACTCAGGATTCCAAGTAGGACTAGGGACCTTTGGGACTACTGCAAAGGGACACTTGTAGGATTCTGTCCCCGGGGGTCATTCTTCCCAAACAATGCCCCCACGATTCAAGTGTCTTAGTCAGTACACAGGGATCATTTGGACATCTTGCTATCACAGATTCTAACCCAAGACATCTGCAGTGGGGTCTGAGCTTCTGTATTTCAAACAAGCTCCCAGAGGACACTCATATGGCTGGTCCATGAACCAAACTTTGAGTACCTTAGACAATTTTCTAAAATGGCTGCTCTCTGGCTGCTCCCTCCGTCCTGGCTTTTTGCGGATGCCTCACAATTCCTTATTCAGACGTAGGACTAAAGGCCCACTCCACTCTATTACCGGTTAGTGTACTTGATCATGAATTGGGCTGATAGCTGTCAGCAGTTCAAGTACACCAGCTGCTCCACAGGAGAAAGATGAGGCTTTCTGCTCCCATAAAGCTTCCCAGCCTCAGAAACCCTCTCTGGATCACTATGAGCACATAACCACCAACACGAACACTCTACACTCAACCTCTTGCTTCAGTCTTGATTGCCAACTGCTGAGATCACCTGTCAGAAACCTATCACTCCGGATCTTCTTCCTCTGTCATAGAACACGGAATGCAGACAGTTCTTCTGACTTTACATCAACTGCAAAGCAAAAAAAAGTGCCTCCAATCTGGTCCACCAAGCCCTGGGCAGAGAGGAGATCACTGTCACATGCTGAAAACATATGCACACTCTCTTCTGAAACTTTACCACCATTAAGACTACTTTCGCACTATGCGATACAACGTATTATCAGAGATGTGACACTAACTAGTAAAAATTTGGAGAAAAAGCCATCCATATGCCAAATCGCTAAAATAAAACTCTAGATTAAAAATGCACATTTAAAATAATAGGCAAATCATTTGGAACACACAAAACCCACCATTTTTATTCTAATGTGTTCACAGTTGACTACATTTCCTGATATATGCATTTTTCTTGCCAAATTCCTTAGCATTTCCTCTATTGTCATCAATCTACGTGTTGTTCTGAAAACTACTACACATTTTACCATTAACAAATTGTGTTTCCCTATGATTTATTTTTACTTTAAGAAGTTTTATCAAAAAAAAAGCTTTTATCATGTTTCGCAGTGTGTCGTTGTGGTTTGGCATCATAAAATGCAGCCTCTACATTCATCAACCTCAGATACCTGTGGGCCACAGAGATATGTTCTCCTATAAAAACAACTATTTTGGAAAGAGGAAAAAGTGAGCCTTTCACTAAAAAAGAAACCTCAACTGTTTGAAAGGTTAATACATTACAACTGAACAACAAAGATCAAGATTATATCTTAGCTTCTATCACAAACAGATGCCTCTGTTTCCCACTCTTTTGATAGATGGCAGTTGCCACTTTGGATTTCTTCCAACTAAAAAGAAAAATTTTAAATATAATTTTAACTGTTAAATATGTTTTACTTTGACATGAAAAATGATCTTTTTGGAGTCTGAAAGACCCTACCTCTTTGAGGAGAATGATAAATACACACAAAAAAACCTACGTATTTGAATCAAGCATTTAACACAAAATATTTTTTTCACCCTTGAGCAAATCTTTCCAGAATGACTAAAGGTGGGATAATGTGGCGTCTCAACACACAAACCAACAAAGACTTCACAAAGGACAAGCAGATTTCCGAGATGTCACCTGGGATATGTCCCCTAACTTTACACATTCAGCAGTGGCATCAACATTTTCCTCCACTTTGGTCACGCAGGCTCAGATGTCCCAGTTGAGCATCTACCTTTCTCCGCCTTTTCTTTGTCTGGACCCCTGGATATTAGCACACTTTGTGAAATGTAGTAAAACATGCAATATGCTTCTTGAGTTCTAATCCACTTGTATTCATTTCCAGACTTATTGTTCCTGTCAAGTTCTACACAATAGCCCCATTAGTAATTCTCCCAAGAGACTCCAAGAGGAAGCAATGAATTTCATCCTTTTCCAAAGATAAGTCTTTTGATTCAAACAAAAGTCCTAAAATAACCTCAGACAAGAAATCTTCTTTTTACTTTTTCATAATTAATCATTAATTTTAGATATAAGATGTAGATTTTAATTACAATCTTTTATCCTTAGGCCCTATACCCCTTCGCCAAAGGAATCACAGAAAAGAACATGGCAAAATCATGGATATTCTATCTAGCACCAACCAGAATTCTAAACCCTCTGCTATCCACTCGATTCTGACTCGTAACAACCCTGTAGGGTAGAGTGGAACTGCTCCATAGGGTTCCTGAGGTTACTGGAGTTTATAGGAGCACAAAGCCCCATCTCTCTCCCATGGAGCACTTAGTGACTTAGAACTGCTAACCTAGCAGCCTAGTGCTTTAACCACTTCACCACTAGGGCTTCCTCTATCTGCCACAGTGCCAGAAGGGGAAAAAATCACCTCATAGGTGTTCTTCAAAACTGCAAGTATCAACCATTTCAACTCATGGTAAGCCATGCAAAAGCCCACAGCTAACAATCCATTCTTCTATGCTTGACATTGATGCAAGCTTTAGTAACAGAGGAGACAAAATTATGTGGATTGGGAGTGATAAATAGTAAAAGCCACTAAAATTCTAGTAGACTTTAAAATCATACCCTTGTTATAGACACAGGCCACAATGTATGTAGTCAGTGCAAGCTGTCACCAATGAATTAAGGTAAAGCATCTATACTTAATATCCTTCTAGACATACTGTTAGGTGACAAACCTTACACATTGGAGCTCAAGGACTTCTGAAATGTCAATTTACTTAAGCTCTCCAGTTTTGGCATCCCTAAGAGAAACTTGTTTCAATACAGATTGTTGAGACACAGCCCTGGAGTCTGGACCAGCAGGCATGAGTGACCCCAGAAATCTCCACCGTCAAAAAGTTACCTGTGACAGGTAACTGAGATGCAAGGAAGCCAAGACCACAGCTCCAGAAACACTCAAGGGATCCCATTTATCACACGATCCTAAGGATCGCCAATGCTGGATCATCGAACTTCAACGGCTGGCAAGCAAGTTTCCTTCTTGGCGGAAAGAAATGATCACAGAAGGGTTGCCAGGAAAAGCCTTGTACGGCGGAAGAGGGCGGGAAGCAGGGAACAAAGTAACCTGGTTTTATTTCAGTGGTTCAACAGCCTCCCCTTGACCCCGTAGTCCACCCACACGCCAACCACTGAGTCTCTGATCTCAGACCTCAAATACAGACGCCCATCCAACCACACATGCACCTACCCAGCCTCCGTTATCCTGGATCCAGGTGTGCAGGTGCCGGTTCAGGTACTCCGTCATCCAGTGGGCGATGTTGTCCACAAGGGGCGACATCTCCCGGTTGACGCTCTCCACACACATGACCCCACCGAACTCAAAGAAGGCCACAATGCGCCCCCAGTTCACCCCGTCTCTGAAGAGCTCCTCCACCACCGTGGCAAAGCGCCCCCTTGCGGTGAAGGGGGTCAGGTGTAGCTGGCTCGACATCTCCGCGAAGTCGCGGCGATAGCGCCGGGAGAAGTCGTCTCCGGCCTGGCGCAAGGTCAGGTGGACCACAGGTGGCACCGGGATGAGCGCCGGCTGCGCGGCAGGGGCGGCCAGGGGCGGCGAGGTCCTGGCGGCCGGACCCCGGAGCGCAGCGGGAGGAGAGGAGAGGAGTCCTGGCTCCGGGGTGACCCCGGGGGACGCGGCGCTCAAGTCGCCGGCCTCCCACTCGTATCCCCTTTGCGACAGCTTATAGTGGATGTACTTCATCACGATCTCCCGGTTGTCATACCCTGTTCTCCCAGCGTGCGCCATCCTGCCCGCTTGACCCGCTCCCAGCCCGAGCCCCCAAAGCCTGGAGAAGAGTTATAATCCAGCGATTTTATTGGATGTGCTTTGCATTCTTGGAAGTGCGGGTGTCTTCAGTCACGCGGAACTCTTGACTCTGAGGGTATTCCCCTTGGCATGGGATGCAGAAAATTTTTATTGAAATTCCTTTCAGATGTTTATGGCACGAGGCACATTATTATTATCTATAATTGCTGTACGATCAGTCTACTTCCTCCGCGATGCTGAAAGGTTTAAAAAAATAAAATAAAATCCTATTGAATCAAAATCAGGTGCATTTTCCTTTATACACCGGGTGTAAGCAGGCAGACACACAAGTTACCCCGCTCCAAAGAATGGATTCAACTGCCTGGAAATTCAACTTACTCCAATGCACTTAAATTAAAATCGCCAATGTTTCCATCAAAAGTTACAAGAAGCCCGTTTCCTGTGCAAAGAACTTACTTGTAATTTTGAGGGGGCAGCATGATCATCGGTCAAGCTTCCTTTTTTTGTACAAACTCATAAGGCAACGATCCCATCAATCTTCCGAGCTCCTCTCCAGTGAGAGCAGCGGCGAAACTTCCATCGGGATCAGGAGTGGGGGGTGCAGGAGGAGGAGGTGAAAAATCAGGAGAATTTCCAGAATGACCCCCAGGCTTCTGTTGCACAGAAATGTCAATCCGTAGAACTCTCCGCCTAGAGCTCCGGAGCACGAGGTCTGAGAAGGCAGCGGCGGCAGATGAATTACAATTTTCAGTCGGGTCTTTGCAAAAGTCCGGCGAGGTCCCCTCTGGGCAATTTCCCCGCGCGGTCTCACACACACACACACACACACACACACCCGCGCGCGCGCGCGGGCACGGGCGTCGCTCTCCGCGGGGCCCTGCACGCCTCCCCGGGAGAGGGACTGGCGGGGCGGGGACGCTGGCGGACCGGGCGGGGACAGGAGTCAGTCCTCTTCTGGTGAAACTGCGAGCGGCGAGGGCATTTCCCGGATAGCCGCTGGAGCCAGGCAGCGGGGACTGCGGCCCGGGCCGCGCTGTGTGTGGTGCTGCCGGGGGTGGGGAGAAGGCGGGGCGGAGGCTTGGTTTTTTCCCTCTTTTCCTAAAAAGGATGACGGCTACGAAGTTCTTTCCCCCCACCCCCCGACCCCCGCTTCCGCTGCACCCCACGGCGCACCCTGCCTCCGGGCCCGCGCGCAGCCCGCTCCGAGCGGGGACCGCGGGGAGGCCGGCCGCGCAGTCACAGGCGGCAGCGGGGACCCGGGCGCGCGGCGGCGGCGGAGGGGGCGGGGAGGACGGCGGGCGGGGGGGCGCTCTGACTTCATTCTCCTCGCAGCCCCGCCGGTTTCCTGTGCGTACGTCACACTGTTCATTCAAAAAAAGAAGCCCGAGCGCGCCGCCTCGGAGCCCCGCTCCCGACCCGATTAAAGGCACCGCAGCCCGGCCGAGCGGCGCGTTCTCCGGGAACTGGAAGTCGGGGGCCGGGGACCGGACGCGGTGGCGGGGTGGGGTGTGGCCTCCTCTTGCCTGCGGTGGCAGGGCAGGCTAAGCCGGGGGCCGGGGATCGGGACCGCACGCAGCGGGCCGGGGGCAGAGCGTGGAGCGGCGCCGGTGTTGCGCCATGAAAACAGCCCTGGAGAAGCGCCGGAATTCGCTTCCACCCTTCCGAAGCGTGTGTACTTGTATGTGTGTGTTTGTGCGCGCGCGCACAGCGTGTGACCGACGTTCGGCCCTTGGAGGACCGAACCCCGTGCTGACCTCCGAGGGGGCACTCCGCGCTGGCCTCCCGCGAAGAGGCAACTCTGCATATTCGCTAGCGGCCTGTTTACTTTCCAGTTGCTTCGGAGGTGTCCACGCAGCTAGCGCGCGCGCGCCCGCACACCACGTAACCCCAACCAGATTTCAACCTGAAGCCACCATGTGTGACCAAGACCAGGGCCAGTGAAGGGGCAACTGGACGATTTCAAGGGTTAGCCAGTAGTTACGCCCTTGGTCTTTCCCTGCTCCTCACAATTCTGAGTCTGTGCTGGGGCTGAATGCTGTGGAGGCCCATATGGCAACTCCCAGGCCTTCAATCATAACCCTGGGGTCCGTGGCTTTGTATGTGACACACACACACACACAAACACACGCGTAAAGAAGCGTTGTAGGATAAGCATTGGACTGCTAACTGAAAGGTGGGCCGTTCAAACTCACCAGCCATTCCTTGGAAACCCTAGGAAACAACTTGAAGGCACTTAACAATAAGGAGCCCTTGTGGCCTAGTGGGTTGCCACGCTGGGCTGCTAATGGGAAGGTCAGCAGTTTCAGACCACCCGTTGCCTGAGGGAGAACGATGAGGCTTTCTGTTCACGTACAGATTTACAGCCTTGAAAACCTATACAGGACTAACTAGATGGCCCACAACAAAAATATGCATGTAAGTGCTTAGGTGGTGGCCGTGATTAAAAACACCAGCTAGTCTGTGGGAGAAAGGTGGGACTGTCTGCTCCTGTAAAGATTTACCGTATGTTAAGTGCCATTGAGTCAGTTCCGACCCATAGCAACCCTGTATAGGGTTACCAAGAAACAGCTGGTAGGCTTGAAATGCCAACCTTCCAGCACATTAACCCACAGCATACATAGGGCCATAAGGAGCTCTGGTAGTATAGTGGTTACCAGTCGGGCTGTTAACCTCAAGATCGACAGTTCGAAACTACCAGCCGTTCTGCGGGAGAACGATTAGGCTCTCTGCTCCCGTGAAGATTTACAACCTCGGAAACCCTATACAGGGTCGGGACTCCACAGTACTTAAGAACAACGAGTCAGACTCCAAATGGTAGTGAATTTGGTTTGGATTAAGCACCAACGATTATGGGCGTGTCTATGAACTGAGTGTTACTAACCTAAAGGTCAGGCACCACTGAACAAAGATCTGATGACCTCCTCCTGAAAGGCCACAACCTTGAAATTCCTATGAACTATAGTTCTCTTGACACATTGGGGCACCATGATTCAGAATCGACTGGATGTCCAAAACCAAACCGATTGCTTTAGATTCCTACAGTACAGAGTAGAATTGCCCCATGGGGTTTCCAAGGCTGTAAATCTATACAGAGGCAGACCACCATGGAACATTGGATGGATTCAAACCACTGTCTTTTCCATTACCAGCCAAGTGCTTAACCATCGCACCACCAAGACTTGCTCTCTCCCTCTCTTTTTCTTCCTCACTCCCTCTTTATATGTTGTCATCATTATTGTTGGGTGCCATCCTGTCGTGTCCACCTCATAGCAACCCTTTATGATAGAATCGATTTGCCCCATAGGGTTTCCAGAAGGAGCGCTGGTGGTGTAAAGGTTGATAGTTGAATCCCAGTAGCCCCTCCTCAGTAGAAAGATGTGGTAGTCTGTTTCTGTAAAGATTTACAGCATTGGAAACCCTATGGGCCATTTCGTCTCTCCTCAGCAATGGGTTTTAAATCTTTACAGGAGCAGATCCTTTCTTCCACGGAGCCGCTGGTGGGTTTGAACACCAAGCTTTCAATTAGCAGCTGAGTACACCATTGTTGCAATAAGGTTTCTCTCTATATTTAGATTTACACACACAGAGACATATATATACACACACACCCCACACATTTTTTAGATCATCAGCATGAATAGCCCCGAGGCGTAAAGGACAAGAGGACAAACAAGTTACACATGTTTAACTATTTTTATCTGAGAGTCTTTGACAAATAAAGCACCAAGAGAAAGAAGAAGAAGAAGAAAAAAAAGTTTACCAAAAGCAAAAGAGTTTATTTACTAGAGGCAAATATAAGCATGTAAGGACAGGGAATTATTGTTATAAAAACCTGGTAAATGTGTGCAAATATGTTTCTGATATCATCCTTGATAATTTGTCTTATTCCTCATTCAAAAATAAAGCATTTATTCTTAATGGAAAATGAATACAGAAAAATGGTTTCTTTTCTTAGTTCATCATACCCAATCAGCTGATATGTAAACATCTCATATATAAGAATGGGTACTTTTTAGGAACTTTTACCCAGGCAAGGGAGAAGGAAGAAAGATGTTCCTTCCTGTGCCTTGAATGACTGCCGACCTTGCAGTTCAACCCGACCTTGAGGTTGAGTGCGTATCCTATGGCGCCTCATGAGTGAGGAAATGAGAGGACAGAGCTGGAAAGAATACCTCTACAAGGGCCAGCTGGAAAGAAAAAAAAAAAAACCTCGTCCCAGAGGAAGAAATCCTTCCCTATTTTCTCTTTCCCTTTGTTTCCATATAGCTCACTTCATGAATTTACCCCCAAGTAATTCTGTGAGGGGCATTACAACCCTTGACAAGGGCTATGCTTGGATATCCCTGGAGTGGTCTGTGTGTATATTCAATTAAAAGAATGAACCTATTCATCTTTGCAGATTCCATGCTTAGTGGACCCCATTTTAAGCAAGGGGAAGTAGTCCTAGAAAAGGTGGGAAATGAACTGTGTCTTTGGGTAAGGTAGATAGTGGAAGGAATCCTGGAGTTCAAATCCTGAGTGAGACCACCAACAACCTCCAAATGAATGCCCTCTTCCTGGTGTCTTCTGCTCTTAGGAGTAAATGAGCAACCCTTCCGCCAGCTTTGCTTGTTTGGATGGTAAATAGGAGGGTGGCACCCAGAAAAAAAAAGTAAGATGCAGGGCATGGGGGCTGTATCTGAAAGACGTGTGTTTTCCTTTTTGATCTCCAGTCGACCTAAAAAAGCTTTTATTGCCAGTTTTCGCCACCTACTGGTTGGTGCCTAATAGTATAACTTAGTATGTTGTAGGCACCCACCACTAATACACATTTTCTCAAAGTTTATTAAAACCAAAAAGGGCATTATTCTATTTAGGGCATGTGGCACTGTGGCATAAAGCACTGGACTGAAAGGTCAGTTTGAACCACAAAGTCGGAGGTTCAAACTCACCAGTCACTCCTTGGAAAACCTATACAGGGTTGCTAAGAGTCTGAATCT